GCTATCTCACCTAATGGGGCTTCCATAACGATTTCAAGCGACGACCACCCTCTGGGTATTTAAACAGACTTTAGTCCCGAAAGTCCAACCTCTTTATGTTCTAAGCATCAGCCATTCGAACTTTAGTTCCACTTTCGCAGTTGGTCTCTATGAAACTCATTCGAACACAGCAAGATGCCTCTGCAGGAATCGGTACTCAGGAGAGTACTTTCGATCGCCATTCTGGCTTAAAGCAACTTATTTGAGCTTGAAGGTAGAGGCACAGCCAATCTCAGAGCATGGCCAAGACGTGAAGACGGTACACACGAGATGAGTCTCGAAAACTACTGAAGTGAAACAAATCATAAATACCTGACTTTCCTCTTTTTCTCTGCTTTGTGTCTGAAACCCATATAGCTTCAAATATGTCATGGTTTACTATTCTGACATGACCTGGTGAACCCTGCGATTTTATGAAGGAACAAATACTATTTTGCACAAATGTGGAGAATACACAGCACTCTGAGCACAAAACATTTTATTTTGAACGAAATTGAAATGATTCTCAACTGGGTATGAGTCTACGACTAGACACAGCGCATCACGACTCAAAAAGGGAAAACAAAGAAACAAACACTAAACACATTCGAGACACGCTCGAACGACTACAAAGCAGAACGGACGAACAAAACAAAAGACACGACACAACAGACGTGTACAAAGACAGAGAGACTCTCAGTGCACAGGACCTAGTTTCTCGGTATTATTTCCGCCCTTTCTAATTTGTGGATTCTCACATCACCAGGCCTCAGCTCTTTTTTTCTAAAAAGCATTTCTCTCACATTTTCTCTCAACTCACATCTCTCTATCTCTTCAATCTCTCATTTTTTTTTCCAGCTCCCTGGGTGGTTGATGAGCATAACACAGAAAAGTTGGTGCTCTTGCCATCAGCATTCTGCTAGATTCTTCTCTTGTTCATAACAGTGAGTTTCTTCACGTTAGGGCCTGTGCTACAATTGGGTGTGTTAGCAAATCTGCAGTTGACAATCGTTGACGATACTCCGGCGGGGGTTTGGATGTAATCAAGATTGTTCCAAAACATAGGAGTGGAATATCTCGATCCTTCCCGGTTTGTGCTTCGCAATTGGCCTTGATAAACCTCGTTGCTTTGGAGGATTGTGAGGCTTTCTGTCCTTTTTACGGTTAGCTTCCGGTTGTGCCCCTTTCTGGCAAAGTATGGTGCCTTTTTTGGAAATGCATTGATAAAGGGAAAAGACAGAACACCTGAACTAAACTGTGCCCCTAAGTTCATCATTTTTGGACCATTTTTTTTTTGGTTTGGTTTTCTACTAAAACAATTTTAACCAAAATGTAGAGTTTAGATTAAACGCTTGTTCGATTTTCTTGATTTAAAAATCATGCAAGTTAGTTTATGAGCACTGAAAATTTTCCTTTTTCGGGTCAGAAAGAAGGTCAGGTTTGGAAAAATGGGAATAGTTTTCGAAGAAATCAGTCACTTTAGTAAAAAATTCTCATAAAATTGTTTTTGCAAACGGCCACTGCTAAGAGCATAGAACCCACTCTTAAGATGCACAACCTCAGATTCGAAGGAAATTGCCCTTGGCTTAAAGGGGAGCTGCCATGGCAACGGAAAGTTGCACTTGTTTGAACGGCATTGCAGCACATTGAAATGGCAACGAAAAGTTGCCCCTTTTGAACGGCACTGCAGCGCCTAGACGGCAACGGAAAGTTGCCCCTACGTCTGAATAGCGCCGCAGCTGTGGCAACCAAGTCTTACAATGAAATTACACCAAATTCTCGGCATACGCAGAGAAAGAACAAAGATGACCAGAAAAACAAACATCAACATGGATACAGTCGAATTTTGAGTGTTTTAGCTGGACTACGTATCCCATAAGTGGGAATAAGCCTTACGTAGTTTGGGGTTAAGATACACTCGTGTATTCAACCTCTCCCTTTTGTGCTC